ACTGGATCGGCCCGCTGACCCGCTGACCCGCTGACCCGCTGACCCGCTGACCCGCTGACCCGCTGACCCAGCAACCTGCGCTGACACACTGACACACTGACACACTGACCCGCTGACCCGCTGACCCAGCAACCTGCGCTGACACACTGACACACAGACCCACTGACCCGCTGACACACAGACCCGCTGACACACTGACCCGCTGACCCAGCAACCTGCGCTGACCCGCTGACCCGCTGACCCGCTGACCCGCTGACCCGCTGACCCAGCAACCTGCGCTGACCCGCTGACACACTGACACACTGACCCGCTGACCCGCTGACCCAGCAACCTGCGCTGACACACTGACACACAGACCCGCTGACACACTGACCCGCTGACACACTGACCCGCTGACCCGCTGACCCAGCAACCTGCGCTGACACACTGACACACAGACCCGCTGACCCGCTGACCCGCTGACACACAGACCCGCTGACCCGCTGACACCGCAACCTGCGCTGACACATTGAACCGCTGACCCGCTGACCCGCTGACACACAGACCCGCTGACGCAGCAACCTGCGCTGACACACTGACACACAGACCCGCTGACCCGCTGACACAGCAACCTGAGCTGACACACTGACACACTGACACACAGAAACCTGCACTGACACACTGACACACTGACCCGCTGACCCAGCAACCTGCGCTGACCCTCTGACCCAGCAACCTGCGCTGACCCGCTGACACGCTGACCCAGCAACCTGCGCTGACCCGCTGACCCGCTGACACACAGACCCGCTGACGCAGCAACCTGCGCTGACACACTGACCCGCTGACCCAGCAACCTGCGCTGACACACTGACACACAGACCCGCTGACGCGCTGACACAGCAACCTGCGCTGACACACTGACACACAGACCCGCTGACGCAGCAACCTGCGCTGACACACTGACACACAGACCCGCTGACCCGCTGACACAGCAACCTGCGCTGACACACTGACCCACTGACACAGCAACCTGCGCTGACCCGCTGACACACTGACCCGCTGACCCAGCAACCTGCGCTGACCCGCTGACCCAGCAACCTGCGCTGACCCGCTGACCCGCTGACCCGCTGACCCGCTGACCCAGCAACCTGTGCTGATACACTGACCCGCTGACCCAGCAACCTGCGCTGACCCGCTGACACGCTGACCCGCTGACCCAGCAACCTGCGCTGACCCGCTGACCCGCTGACCCAACAACCTGTGCTGACACACTGACCCTCTGACCCGCTGACCCAGCAACCTGCGCTGACACACTGACACACTGACCCGCTGACCCAGCAACCTGTGCTGACACACTGACCCGCTGACCTGCTGACCCAGCAACCTGCGCGGATACACTGACTGACTGACTGACCGCTGGTCCACGTTCCAGTGTAACGTGACCGCCGTGACGCACACCATGAGGCAGCCTGGCGCTGTCTGACGTGCGATGCCCTGTTCCACCTGCAGGGGAGCTGTTTGCCCAGGCGCCAGTGGAGCAGTACCCTGGGATCACCGTGG